TCTATAAGACAGTGGTGATGATACATCGCCGCTACCCTCTTTATGTATTAGCACTGGATAAGCATCTTGCCAAGTTGGGGGTATTGTCTTTTTTCCCTTTATCTCGTGCATAACCTATTGTAACTCCAGGTGAGTAGCCATGTTGGTCTGAAGTGGTAGAACCAGTTTTAAAGAACTTTAAAGGAAATTCCAAGTTTCTAGCATGCATATCAGCATTTTGGTTTTTTAGATGGCTGAAGATTTTTGTGCAATTTGAATTCATCCATTTTGCCCTGATATTGTTGCCATGTTCAACTTATCATTTTCTATGCTTGTTTCTTCTTCGGAGTTTTTGTTCTGTGAACTTTGCTTTGAGCTACTAGCAGATTGCTTTGAATTACTTGGAGATTCTCCTTCTGTTCCTCTGTGTAAGTCCTCCACTTGCAGCTCTTCAGCCAATTGCTTGCTTTCTCCCTCTGTTGGAATTATTTTTCAAATGGTATTTTCCAATTATATTTATTTCTTTTGTAAAATCTGTCTCAGTCGAAGTTTTTCCTTTACTTTACCACACTTGTTGGTAAATCCTGAAAGAGCTGTACTTCTTTTCCTGCAACCTTGAGTTGTGATTCCCTTTGGTTCTTCAGTATTGTGTCTCATGTATTCTTGTAAGTGAATTGAACTAGTATATCTTGAGGTAGCTTATTCTTGAATGCAAATCTCGAATTCACTCTAAAAATCTGGTCAATGTTAAGAAAGTCTTCCTCTACCTTCAAATAATTCTGAAGTAAATCACGAAAGCTTTCTTCCGAATTTAACCTCCCAAAATCCTCTGGGATTCCTGTAAAAGATTATTGGATCTGCATTGAGTTTCCAGGATTTCTATTCTTTGTTCTGCTTTCTCAATTCGAAGATCTTGCCTTTCTAAAAGTGTCATTATCTTTTTGCTTCCCTTTGATTTTTATAATTTCTTTTGTTTGTTCTTGTAATTTTAAATTAATTTCTGATACTCCAGCCGATATCTCTTGACACACTTCTTTAATGTTCTTCTGGGTTCTTTCCTCAGATTTTTGAATATTCCTCTGAATACTCTGGATATTCTTTCAAGTTCTTTTCTTTGAATCTTGAATGGTCTTTTGTGTTCTTTCTTCAAATGGTTTCATTTGCTGCACCCATATTCACAATAATTTTTCTACCATTTCTTCAGCTCTCTGTTCCTCACCTGTTTCGTCTGTACTCCTTTTTTCTTTGTCTCTTTGATGTGTTCCTGTTGCCATTTTCCTTTTCATTCTCCTATTTTTAAAAATATTGTACACACTTTCCATAAATTATTCCCATATACTGTTTTCTATGCATATATTAAATGCACAACAATCAAAGTTTATACTATTTAAATAACTCAACTAAACTATATGCCATTAGAATAAAAATTATATTCTCTACAGTTCTTATTAAAAGGGCTAAACGTAACAAATACATTATGAATAAATATAGTATAGATGACAAATGTACTTAATGTCTAATCATTCTAATCATTAAATCACAAACATCAATATATCACCAACAGAACAATTTTTTTCTATAAAAAGTATAATATAGTAAAACAGGGCAAAGAGGTGATAAATGAGAAGTGGGGAAAGGGGAGGGAGAAAGGGAGGGGGAGCAACAAGGAAATGGGAAGGAAGCATTGTCTTAGCTTTGTTTCCTGGTATGCTGATTCATCTAAGGTCTTCAGGGGAAAACTCCCCCAATGTTTTCGTGTTGTTTTTCATTCTGGGAAAGTTCACATGTCCAAATAGGAAAATATATAACAGAGGAAAATAAATAAATCTTGTCTTTTCGATGGCAAAATGGAATTTTATTAATTCCCCCTGTATCACATCACAGCTGAAACACTTCAAACAAACGTCTTTCATTGAAGATTAAAGAAACATTAAAAAGATAAGAAAGAGTAAAAGTAAAAAAGAAAATAACCAATTATATATTCTGCAGAGTAAATAATATACTAAAGAGGTTAACTTAGTATTTACACTCTATCAAAGCTGAGATTTTCTTGGAAAGCAGCCAAGTGCCATTCTGTCAAAGTAACGTTCTTTAAAACTGGTTACATAATTTTTTTGCTGAATAGTTGTAATTAAAGATCAAAGTTTATCAGAAGCCTTGCTCCAAAAGCCATAAACTGCTATATATTGGAAGCTGACTTCAAATGCTGCTGGAAGAGTGCCGGTCTTTTCAATTATGATTACAGTTCCGGGAGTCCAAAATATTGCAAATATTGCAAAGATTACTGAATCCAGATTGATTTAGGGTGGCCACCTGCCTAATTTCAGAAGGCGGGGCACTCACTCAAAGCAGGTCCTCCAAAGGTGGCTTTAATAGTCAGGCATGTTCGTAAGGGATTAGGTGGTCCTTCAGGTATGCTGGTTCTAAACCATATAGGGTTTTGAAGGTTAAGACCAGCACCTTGAATTGTGCCCAGAAACAAATTAGAAGCCAGTGTAAGTGGGCCAAGACTGGAGTGATATCATCCCTATGACTCATCCCAGTCAACAATCTGGCTGCAGTATTCTGTACCAACTGAAGTTTCCGAACACTTTTCAAGGGCAGACCCATCTAGAACATATTGCAGTAATCTATTCTGCATGGAACCAGATTATGTATTTGCGACTCCTCCACTCACACAGAGTACATACCACGTTCTACAACCTCTCTTATTCAAGTTATGGGTTACTACCCTTCTTGTCTCTTTTAAAATCTACAGAAAGTCATGACCATATTGCATTCAGGTCCTCTCACTCCCAGGAACATCCAGAAAGGGTAGCCTAGCCCCCTTTAATAATCGGCCCTCCCTCAGTCACACAGAGCTATTGGGGTTGGGGCTCAAACATTGTTTTAATCACTTGCTGCCACTTTCATTCGTATCCTATAATATAAATATAGACCGAAGTATTAAATAGTGTGTGTGTAGTTCTTTCTCTTAGAAACATAGCCGACATCGTTAATCAAAACAAGAAACTTTTATTTATAAGAACAAAACACTGAGGAAAGTAAAGTCTAAGAAATGGTTCACTTCCATTGTTCCATTGAACTTCTGAACAGAAGTCCTATACCTATGACTGGGATCCTTTAGTTACGAATCTACTATTTTCAGCCTCTTCCAAGCAACTCTTCTGTAGATGTTAAAGAGCATAGCAGACAAGATGGAATGTGGGATCTCATAGGTCAAAGGCCAAGGGGCTGAACAGCAGTCCCTCAGCACCACCTTCTGAAACCCAGCCTTCAGGTCATTAATAGAAAGAAAGCCAGTGGAGCATTTGAGGTTGTTGAGTGCTCTAAACATTTATTTATTTATTTATTTATTTATTTTGTTCGACTTATATCCCACTCTCCCCGCATGGCAGGCTCAGGGCAGGTTACATCAAATTTGATAAAAATACAATATATACAATTAATACAATTAAAACACTAGTAAAATACCACAATGGTCTTCATCTGGTGCCATTGTCATTGACATTAAAACCTCACAGATACTAACTGTGGTATGCAGTTCTGACCCATTGAGGGGAGGCCCAGTAAAGAGGGAGGGATGTCCGTCGCCCTAGTTAAAAGCCTGGCAGAAGAGCTCTGTCTTGCAGGCCCTGCGGAACTGTAAAAGGTCCCACAGGGCCCTGATCTCATATGGGGAGCTCATTCCACCAGGTATGGGCCAGGGCTGAAAAGGCTCTTCAGGGGAGCAGGTCATCACTAGTTCCGGGGAATACCATGGTACCAATTTGGTACGAGGGCAAAGAGGGTGCTGGGGAGTGACCTCATCAATGGCTTTGGAAAGACGGTCCTGCCAGTCTTCCCCTAGCTCATCCAACAGGCCACCAGGGTGAATCAGATCCTGCAGAGCTCCTGGAACCTACATGTGGGCATCGTCCAAATAAGTACAACCTACTATTGCCCTTTATCCTAGGCACACCAAGTAGATGCCAATTTCGATACCTATTCCCATCTCTTTGGAATTACATTAAGTTGCAAAGTAGTATATGAGTTAATGGATTCATCACTTCCTTAATGATGCAGATTTTTTTGTTCTTTGCCACTCAACCTTGACTCTAGAGTATGACTGTAGAGTATATACACAGTAACATCTTTGTAATTTGAACTTTCTTTCTTCTCACTGGAGGTTCTCACAATCATTTGATGTCCAAATCCCTTTCTCCTAGCTTAAATTTCTCTGTTTCTTTCTTTATTTAAAATATTTATATCCCACCTTATCTCTTTAAATTCAGGGCAGCTAACAAAGCAATAACAGCTTGCAGACACATAAAAACATAATCCATCAACAAAAATAAAAACTACAGACAAAATAAAAGCAACACACCACAGCTCTACAAGCTAATTGGACACTGCATTTTCGATTGTACCAAAATTCTTTAATCAGAACATCTTTCCAGATATGTATGTAGATCATCAATGTAGCTGTGGACACAAAATGTCACAATGATATTCACAACTGCAGTGACCCTAAGCCCTCCATTATCCTCAGCTTCTGAAAGCCCAGCCTTAAGAGTAAATGGTGCTCAGCTCTTGCAATCCTCTTCTTTCCTTCTTTATGGCCTTGATTTCCCCTTCCCCTGCCTAAAGTGCTAGTGGAGACCAGTGATTGTAACCCAGATTTTTAATATGCTGTCAATTTGCCTGAAAGCACTTGGATGCTGTTATACTATTGATTAGAGAAATCCTGCAGGGTGTAGTATGACTGATTCTGCTGATATGAGAATACTGCCCTAGCACATATTGCTACTTAATTATCAGTGTATCTCTTTGTTGAACTTCTACCTTTCTCCTCATTGCACCATGTTGCTGTTCCCAACTGCATTTCTTTTCTCTATCTTTTCCTTCCTTCTTCTTGTCTCGTGTCTTTCCCCCTCTTCTTTCTCCCCTCCTGGACCTCATAGACATGTCCGACTTTGAGAACAATAATGATAATCGTAGAGTGGCAGATATGAGTCAACGCCATGACAATCTCTCCACAGTGACCAATGCCTTGGTAGGAATGAGTCCATCCTCCTCCCTCTCAGCCTTGTCCAGCCGAGCTGCTTCGGTCTCCAGTCTTCATGAACGGATCATGTTTGCGCCGGGCAGTGAAGAGGCCATTGAGAGGCTGAAGGTAAGAACCAAGATCATGCAGGCCACATTTTGTGGTGTAGAGGCATGAGAAGCAACTTGAGAGCATGGAGACTATCAAGCTGGTCCCTCATGGATATTTTGCTCAGCCTTGCCTCCCAAACTGGAGGGGTTTTGTCCCCAAGAGTATCTGCAAGACATTGCCATGCAATCACCCACTGTCGGCATTTCCCCTTTTTCCACTGCAATCTTTCTCAAACCTGTTTAGATATGATTTTTCTGGAAAGATCATATTCAGAGTAGGTTTGGCCACTATGTGGGTGGGAAGGTGCAGATTTTCAAGGCTCTCTTCCCACATTGGTACCTTTTTCTCCTCAGTATCCCCTCATGGTTTTCTAAAAATCCAGTAGAAAGCCCTCCACCTTGGGTGGGGTTTGTATGTTGGGTTCGAGGGACACCAAGAACACTCCCATGTGAACATTTCATTGTCACTGTGAGTACTTGTATATTCCAGTAGCAGTGACTGCACAACAGGGAATTGGCATAGTGTGACTGCAGCCAATCTAGTATTGTTTATCTCCAACATGTGGTCTTTAAATACTGTGATTCTGGCAAGAATATATGGTAAAGAATCTGGATTCATTGAGCTGCTTGACTTGCATCCTGAAGGCAAAGCTTTATTTTATGTATAGAGGTTATGCAAATTTCAGGAGCTGACAGTATGGTTGTTTTGATTATAACCTTGTAGACAAAGAGTAGTGGATTGAGCCTAATGTATTATAGGTGAAATATTTTTAGTCCAGTCAGGTGAGGTGACCATTGTGAAATACTAATGTTTACCTTATACTCTGTAGGAAACGGAAAAGATCATTGCTGAGCTGAATGAAACATGGGAAGAAAAGTTGCGTAGGACAGAAGCAATACGTATGGAGAGGTAGGAACCTAACTGTTATTTATAACACAAATTCACTTCAGAGTCCCACATGGTTCAACCTGCTATGGAGGGCTGCCAAGAGCTTCTGTAGGCCCCCAGACAAAATTCCCCCCTGTGCCCCCTACAACACTAAGAAACATCACTCAAACATAAAAAAATCACATGACTTGCTGTACAGGATTAACCCACTTAGTCCACTCAGTCCAGTCCAGGAATGTGAGGGAACCCTGCACTTTCAGCACATTAAAAAACAAACCACGAGGTAGTCTATACCCTCTCTGGTTTTCAGAACAATTTGCCACCAGAATCTCTTTCAGTAGTCCCTGCCTTTCCTAAATGAAGAGATTCAAGCCCTTAGTTGGCATCTGGGGTTTACACATCAGCAGCTCTACTCAGAGATGCACACTTTACTTTTAATAAATGTAGCTTAAGTGGTCAGGGTCAGACACAAGATTTAGCCTTGGAGTTCAATTACACATCAGAAACAATTAGAAATAAGAAGGATCTTTATTCAGTACAGAGCATAGCAAAAGACTATTAGGATACCAAAATAACAAAGTCTATGGCTATTTGCCTTAACTACACATTACTGAGATTCATAGTTACCAAATTCAGGAACATCCAACAGTCCAAGTATATACCAAGGGATTTTGAAGGGAAATCCCATCTTGCACAAGCATGTGGTCCAATTCACAAAGCAGCTCTTTGTTTCCCAAAAGACAGCATTTCAGGTGCAATAAACAGACAATGGCAGGAGGAGGAAGAGAGCAAGAGCGCTCACTCCCATAGTGTTCAAAGGAATTATACCCCAATCTAATCGCAATCAGCTGTGGCCATCAGCCAATCACGAGTGGACAGGGGTGTGTGGCCAATTGTTGGTTGCCATAACTGCGTGTGGGGATAGGCTAGAAGTTCGGAGGCCCTGCCTGCAGTCAGGTGACCCAAACTCCAGCTTCTTCATTGCCTACGTGACATGTTCAATGTAGACCAGGAGCCTTCAAGTCTAGCTTTTAGCATGGAAGTGTGAAGAATGTGGGTTATAAAGTTGCTCAGGCCATCTGGCCTCACCATTTGGCTTGCAACAGGAAATAAGGCACAGCCTGTCATCAGAATGTAATCACAGGAGAAGGCATGTGAATTCAGAAAGCAATATTTTCTATACACTTGCCCAGCCCCATGGATCCCCAGGGTGATTAGGCCTCCTGGAATTTTGTTCCCTTAGTCCTCCCACCCCTGGAATCCCTAGCCACAACACCTTCATTCTTTTGGACCTGTGTGGAAAACACTCAAAGCATCATCCAAAGGGCAGAATGTCTTACCATATCAATCAATGCCATCACAGGGAGAGTGTTCACACCACTGCTTGACTGAGCTGGCAGTTGCTGGCAATGTCAGAAAAAGTCTCCAAGCGATGGTGGTAAGTCATGCGTGTTCCATGTTGAAATTGCCATGTAAAACAGTCCCTACATGGCCTTCTGTGATGACCTGTGCAACCTGAGTGGTTGGGAATAGTTGGGCCAATAAGAAGCACTTCACATATTATTTTATCTTAATGCAGGCTACAAAAAGCATGTAAAATGTCTGAATGCAGATATTTTTCCTCCCTCCTAATATATTCACCAAGAAGCTAAGACTAGAAGGTTCAGGTCTCACATTGCCACATGCTATTTTTATAATGATACCTCTTTCTGCTCCCTGAAACCTGTTGTTAAAACGTTTTAGCTAATCTTTGTGGTAGCATATGCCACTGAACCTAGTTCATTCTTTCGCAGCATCTGCATTCCCGCAGTTACTGCTCATAAAGTATGGTGTGCTCTCTTCTGGAGTACTTCTTCATTTCTTACCATAATAGGGAGCAGGTCACAGCAGAATTTTCAGGGTTTTAGGTCTTTCTTTTGATGTTTTTCAGGGAAGCTTTGCTTGCAGAAATGGGAGTAGCCATGAGAGAAGATGGTGGTACTCTGGGGGTGTTCTCTCCTAAGAAGGTAGGATTCTATTTCTGCTTCTTTTATACTACTCATATATCTCTCAAAATATATCAGCTGTGCAGTATATACCAGTTTAAAAATTCTCCCTGCTTTCTAATTATTTATCTGTGTGGGATATTTATAACCCAATTTCCTGCTATTAAAAACATCACTCAAAGCAGTTTACAGCATGAAATGAAGACAAAAATAGATTAGTCTCTCCTTATATATAATTGAATAGTGGGTGCCAAAGTTCTAAAATGCACTCCTTTAGTGTATGGACGCTTGAACTGTCAGTCAGAAGACGCTGGCTGGGTTGACTGGCTGCTTTGTGCAGTCCCGCCCAGCGTTTCAAGGTCTTTTGCATATGGAAGCTGATTGGACTTCACTGCATTCCACACCTCAAACTCACCCCCCTCCCCGCAAGGCAGTTGGAATGTCAGTTGCATATGGAAACCTTCAAGGACTTTTGCATATGGAAGCTGATTGGACTTCACTGGAGGAGGAGGAGGAAGAGGGGGACCTCAGACAGATACAATGCCATACTCCCCACCCTCCAAACAAGCTGTTGCCAGTCTCCAGGTGACAGCTGGAGAGCTCTTAAAGCTCTGGTGCTAATTCAAAGTGCTGCAATTTGTCGACAGAGTAGTGTTTTGGCAAATCTTTAGGAATTGTTTGGTGCATTTACGATGGGGCACCCACCCAGAGCCTCTGGCATTTTCTCACTCTGCTGGCATCAAAACCAATTTAAGGCAAAATAAGAGGCTACTGAGAGGGGAGGAGATAAAGTTGCCAGCTTTAGGTATGGAAATTCCTGGAGATTTGAGGAGTGGAGGCCGGAGAGGGGGACATCAGACAGGTTACAGTGCCATAGACTCCACCCTCCAACCCAGCTATTTGCTCCTGGGGAACTATTGTTGCCAATCTTGGCCCAGCACCCATCAAACCATTCTCTTCAACCCCCTGCTGTGCAGCTGACTTTCCCCTAGGGTTGCCAATCTCCAGGTGGGACCTGGAGATCTCCCACTGCTACAATTGATCTCCAGATGGCAGAGATCAGTTCCCCTGAAGAAAATGGATGCTTTGGAGGGTAGACCCTATGACATTATACCTGCTGAGTCCTTCCGCCCCCCCCCAATGCTGCCCTCTACAGAATCCACCCCCCAAAACTCCAGGTATTTCCCTCCTTATAGCTGGCAACCCTACTTTCCCCTCAGTGCCTGATGGTAGGCAACTTAGTTTGGTCCAGTCACCTACTTTGGCCTTTGGGAGAAAACATATTGGGGCCAATCCTGATAGGGTTGCCAACTCCCGATGGGAAATTCCTGGAGATTTGAGGGATGGAGCCTGAAGAGGGTGAGGTTTGAGGAGGGGTGGGACCTCAGACAGGTACAATGCCATAGACTCCACCCTCCAAACCACTCAGTCCCTCATGGGAACCATTGTTGCCAATCTCCAGGTGAGGGCTGGAGACCGCTCAAAATTACAACTGCTCTTCAGGTAGCAGAGATCAGTTCCTCTGGAGAAAACAGTGGACTCTGTAATTATACCCTGCTGAGGTCACCACAGCAAAATGATGGCAAATTCCTGGGAATTTGAGGGGTGGAGCCTGGAGAGGGTGGGGTTTGCGGAGGGGTGGGACCTCAGACAGGTAGAATGCCATAGACTGCACCCTCCAAACCAGCCATTTCATCCTGGGTAACAATTGTTGCCAATCTCCAGGTGAGGGCTACAGATCACTCAAAATTACAACTACTCTTCAGGGAGCAGAGATCAGTTCCTCTGGAGACAAAAGTGGACTCTGTCATTATACGCTGCTGAGGTCACCACAGCAAAATGACACTGTTTGCCCAAAGCCAGAGCACTCCCCCAGAGCCTCTTTCTAGATCTCGTTGTATTTATTTCCACAACGGGCTTTACTGCTAGTCTAATATAAAAAGCTAAGAAATCTGAAACCTAGTAACTGCAAAAACACCATAATAAGAGCAGCATCAAAACAGTTGTTAAAAGCAATGAGAACAACAGTCAATCAGTAGTCAAAAATAGAACCATCAGTACAAATTAAAGCAGCATCAGATTAAGAGTTATAAACATCATGAGCCCTCTCTACTAAAGGGAGTTTGACAAATGGCGAGGAGTGTGGAGTAGGCTTGCCAAGTCCCCCCGGGGGGCGGGGAAAACCCCGCCCCAGAGGTCCGTTCCCCGACGCCGACGGATTGGGCCCCGGGGGGGAGCCCCACCTTGATGTGCGCGTCACCCAGAAATGACGTGACCATGCCGGGCACGCTGGGAGCAGGGCCACGGTCATCCGAGGGAAAATTCTATGGTTTTCCCTCGGATGGTCGTGGCCCTGCCCCCAGCATGCCCAGCGTTGTTATGTCACTTCCGGGTGATGTGCGCGCGCGTGCTCCAGACGCCAGCCGGGAGTCTCCCGCTGCAGCACAATGCCGGACTTGGCAACCCTAGTGTGGAGGCATGATAGACTTCCTGGGACAGAAGGAATAATTGTAGTTTATTGAATCCAAAGAATGAAGCTCATATATATGGTAATATGTTTTTTAAAAAATGTTATCCAATAATACTTTTTTCAATAAAGGGAAGCTTTAGGCTTGTGTAAAGCTTACAGGTATCATCAAGGCCACCGTGTTTGGTAGGTTACATCAGTTTGACTATTCATCTTTTGTATTTTGAATGTGTGTTAAGTACTCAAAATGCTTAATAAAATAGGCCATTGTTTTTCCCATACACCTTCAATATTATACACTTGAGAACTATGAATGGGAGGGCAATTTCCTGGCATGTACTAGGGCTAAAAGCGGCATTATTGAGGGACTTCTATTCAGGATATTGTAGGAGAGAAGGGGTTAACTGTTTCTACTTTAGTACTGTGGCCCCAAGCATAGTCCCCCGCCCAGTGATTGCTGTAAAATGAAATTAAGGACTTCTGGGGGTCTAGTCTTGGATCGCTCCAGAGGCCTCTTAGAGCAATGCAATTGTTCCAAACCAAACCATAAACTGAAACTAATGTCCAGAGTTTTCCTTGGTAATGTGTTTCAGTGAGTTTTTAAGCAATCAGAACAATTTCCCTGTGATCTGGACCATAATCTCTTTTGTTATGGCAAAGGGGAAATGTGACTTCATTGGTCTGTTTTGCTGGTTTGTTTTACTGATTTATTTATAAAATGTATGAGCTGTTTTTCCAATGGGCATGCTTAACAATGGGCATGCTTAACAATAAAACAATAACAATAAAACAGTTTGTATTTTAGAACAAAGAACAGTAGAACTACAATAACTACCTATATACAGAAACTGTGGTAGTAGATGCAGTTTAGTCTGAAAGCATCGAGTTCTGTCTTTTCAAGATAACTAAAAGGAGGCTTAATCTTTTAATCAATTGTCAGAACTCCAGAGCTATTTCTTAAGAGCAGTATGGAGTGAGGGATCCTAATTTTGCAATGAGCAAATATCATTTCTTGGTCCAGCCAGGTCCCTAAATGTATGCAGATGTTCATGTAAACCAATAGCTTTACCAACTTTGGCAGCACCACGTTTACTTTCAGGATTAAGCATTCATTTTTAACATTTTGGTATATTAGGAAAAGAAGGCTTGGTGTTAGGTGGTAGATGCACAAACTGTGTGACTTACTGTTTGTGTCTGGAAGTGCTTATCAAAATGTCCTGACATAGTGGAGGTAGTAGGGACATAGCTGGGTTATTTTCACAGTGTGGATAGTGTGAGTAAATGTGTTGGAAGGACACACCTAGGCCTCTGATTTGGAAGACGAGTAGGGCTGCCAGCCTCCAGATGGGGCCTGGGGATCTCCCATTTTTACAACTGATCTCCAGCTGACAGAGATCAGCTCCCCTGGAGAAAATGGCTGCTTTGAAGGGTGGACTCTAGGGCATTGTACCCCACTGAGGTCTCTCCCCTCCCCAAACCCCCACCCTCTCCTGGATCCACCCCCAAAGTCTCCAGGTATTTTCCAACTCAGAACTGGCAACCCTAAAGACAAGACTGTTGGCAGAGTAATTAACACAGGAAGGATGCACAACCTGATTAAAGAGTTTAAATAGTTTATTTAGGAACTAATATACTTGATAGAAAAGAGGAGGGACAGAGGTGAATTGCTAACTACATCTCTAGCTGGAAGAGGGGGGGGGAGAGAGAGAGAGAGAGAGAGAGAGAGAGAGAGAGAGATAGATATTGAATGAAGCGCTTCTGAGAAGAAAGAGGAAATTGCCCTAAGAGTAGCAATCTGGAGACAGACAAGGAATGACACTTAACAGGAGAAAAGGTGCTGTCCTCCTATCTATTTTTTTCTTGCTGCCCCCTTCAGGGTCTTCTCTTCTTCTTTGGATGCCAAACATTGTCTTTTCCAACACTAACCCCCCTTTTGTTTGTCTCTTAGACGCCACATCTGGTCAACCTAAATGAGGACCCACTAATGTCTGAGTGCCTTCTATATTACATTAAAGATGGGACAACCAGGTAATGATACCTATAACAGTTTTGCCAGGTTGAGGTGTGAGGATTGGTGATTATGTGCTTTACTTCAACACTTGTGCATTCAGGCATCCTTCAGTGAAATCATCTTGACATGCTTTTGGGGATACCTAGCCCTTCTAGGGTATTTGGCTCACAGAAGGTCAAACTGCAGAACATGTAACATTTCATCTACCTGCACCAACCCACAGTGCCATTCATTAGCAGTAGACATGCTCCAACACCTGCCAGTTCAGCTCCCTTCCCATAGGAATATCAGCAAAGGTAACCAGTCAAATAAAACAAAGAGCAGAAACAGCAAAAAGAATCGGTGTGTTATGCTTCCTGTAGCAGCATTCCACCAGTTTTCCTGCTCATGGAGAGCCTAATTGATTGGGGAGTTCAGGGAACTCTGTTATTAATCGGCTGTTCAGAGGAACACTCAGAATGCTTTCTGTCACTGAATGAGTGTGTTTTGTCCCCAACAGGGTTGGTCGAGAGGATGCTGAGAGGAGGCAGGACATTGTCCTCAGTGGGCACTTCATCAAAGAAGAGCACTGCATTTTCCGAAGTGACACTAAGGCCGGCACTGAAGGTATCCCCATATAGAAAGCCTCACTGTTTGCGGGCTTCTTTCCCTGTTTAGCTGGGATCAAGCTTCTGAAATACCCAAGTCATATATACATTGTAAAGGACAGGAAGGCTGAAAGTGATCATAGATCAATCCTCTACTGGCCCAACAGACCAAAGGAAGGAGGAGAACTGAGAAATGCTTTCAGTGGCATTTGTGAAATCAGCCTAAGTCAATGCCCTCCATTCCTACCAGTCTGTGTGAAGAGTACCACTTTCTTTCCACATGGAATGCTTAGCAATGTGTGTCTCCCCCCCTCCTGCTTTTATCAGCACAGTGTAGACCTTAAACACAGTCACAGCTGTCTGTTTGCTCTGCAGTGCTGTATTTCTCTGCTACAGTGCTCTCTAGCGTTTTGTTAGAAATGCTGCAAACTGCTAGAACATTCCTGTTTATCTTATGCAATAGCACTGGAAATACAAAGAAAACCCCACCTGCTAGAAAGTTTTGTCAGATGTTCAAATTGAGATGAACTATTTCACAAGGCAACGTAGGAAGCCAAGAAGATGGTGTCACAGTTAGACATGAAATACTGCTTCTTCTAATATAGACCTTGCTAGAGATGTATTGGACTGTGGGACGGGGGTGAATGGAGCAGGGGATGCGGCAGGAGATGGGATGTGAATGGAGGACACACTTCTGCTCTAGATAGGCAGGAAATCTAAACATTTTCATATAGGTATTGGTGAAATCATATTGCAGATTTATGGGTTTAAATTTGGGGGCGGAAATGTTCCAGTCTCCCATAAAATGTGTACTTGCATGCAATCCTTAAGGAAACTGCAAGTTGCTTCCCATATTATTTCTTGAATATGCAGGTGCTTATTCTTTTGGCTGAAGCTATATATAAAGAGCCCTGACCTGGATAGCCCAGGCTAGATCTCAGAAGCTAAGCAGGGTTGGGTCTGACTAGTATTTGGATGGGAGACCACCAGGATTGCTATGCAGTGGCAAACCACCCTTGAAAAAAAGAAAATATGATTTTCCTTTGAAGTTGTGTATCCAGCAAAACCCATAATAAGGTGCACAGAATATGGTGTCTGCAGATATTTAGGCAAATATTGAAGTGCTCTTGCAGAATTTAATGATTAGATCCAACAATTGTTGTGTTTTTATCTCTAGTCATAATGTTTTATGGAAAACATAAAATACCAATAGTGATCAAACTTTCCAAAAATTAAGTGGACCTAGTTTTACATATTTATGAATAATTCACTGAGGAGTTGAAGAACAACAGTTCATGCTAGAAGTATCCTTGTTATAATGCAGCTTTGTACCATATGGCCACTGACTGCATGGCTCAGCCAGTACTGCTAGATCTGGATATCTTAGGACTGAAAAGCATAGTTACTTACCCACATGGTTAGAGGATACAGGCAACTGCCTCCCCATTAGTTCAGGTGTTATGTCATAAGACATTAAGTGGCTACTGTGTACCTCCAAGGTATCTCAATTAACCTTCCACTGAATCATTACTGGATCAAGTTGGCATGGATTTATTGGAGTCAACTGTGTCCCCGTTTGTAGCTAGTGAAAATCCAGTTAGCTCTATTAGGTTGGGCTGGAACCCCAGCGGGTGTAAAACCACATGGCTACATTGAGTTTGCTTCAGTATAAATCCTTCCTTTGTTTACCTGCATATTTATTAGTGATATTTTTACCCCACCTTCTTCTAAACTTGATATTCAGGACAGCCTACAAAAATGTAGTTCTCTTTAAACTAATAGGCCATTCCTTAGTGAATTAGGAAACCATTGTCTGGAATCCATGACTTACCAAATTGTTATACCAAATGGAGAATGATATTTAGAATGAAAGCCTAACCTTGCCCATTAAGGTTAATTCAGTATGTAGAAGGACTGGTGTTCTTATAACATTGAGGTCTTAGTTCCCTGGTCAACAAGTAGATTGATCAGCCACTATTTTCAATGCATGGGAGATGGTTGTTCCTTGTGCATCTCTCACCTGCTGTTTTGTCCTCCGACCTCTCCCAATTCCACTTGTGCCCTTTCCATAGCAGTGGTGACCCTGGAACCTTGCGAGGGGGCAGACACCTATGTCAACGGCAAGAAAGTAACAGAACCTAGCATCTTGAGATCAGGTAAGTTTACTCAAGTTTCCAGGAGAAAGGACTGCAGACTTAGGAATAAAGAAAGGTGCTATTGGAAGGAGTCTACAGATTACTCAGCTGTGTGCCACACAGGGATGGGTCCATGGGAATCATTATTATCTAAGGAAAAGGTTTGTCATCCTGAACAGGCTGGCAGTTAAGCTTGGTTTGCACTGAAGTCATCAGGGTTGGATGCCTTTTATGTTTCCATTTATCTGGGACATCTTTAGTAGAAGCTCTTCTGTGGGTCATCTTTATAGCAGTTTAGCAAGGGATCTCATATCCCATCACATTTTCTCTGCTGTGTGTACTTCTCTGTCCCCCAGGAAATCGTATAATCATGGGGAAGAGCCATGTGTTCCGATTTAACCATCCTGAGCAAGCACGGCAAGAGCGAGAGCGAACCCCTTGTGCAG